CTTCCTCCCTCGGCCTCTTCGGGACGGAGCTTTGAACCCTCCCCTCGGGCGCTGCTGTGCGAAATAAATGAATTTTAAATGAATTTTTTTCCGGCGTAATGTGAAAATATATACGTGTATCATTGCTTGAAAAGAAAAAAGTCAAATCTCCTCGCAATGCTGCTGGTACTGTTCAGGAAGAAGATTTAAAAGCATTAGCTGGCTCGTCTCTCATTAATTGGAAGTCAGCAATTAGCCTCACTTGCTAAAATCAAAAAAAAATAAAAAAAACACACAGTTAAACTTGTACTCTAGTCGGTTTTGGTTCTCAGCGTTAGAGATTTGCCAGCTGACCAGCTGTTAAAATGACCCGTTTCTTGTATTATGGCAAAATGTTTGCGGTCGTTTTGTCAAAAAAGGAACGTGCTCCGTGCCTTGCGGTTTGGCGTGGATGAGCCGATGTGTTTTGCTGCGCGTGCTGAGCTGTGGTTGAGCTGTGGTGTTCCCAAGCAAACATTGCGGACTGAAACGCACGTTTCTCTCTCCGAATATTCAGTCCTCGCAGGCGTGCCTTACTCCTGCTTTACTCTAAGTATTTACAGCACAGGTAGATCTTTTCTTTTGATAATCATGCTATTTCTTGCAGGTTTGTCTAGAAGAAATGATTAACGTGGTGGGTTTTTGACATGGTTCCTTGAGCTTCGCTCCACTTTTCTAACAGGCAGAAAACTTAGGGGACAGCGATGACTAGAGGCTTTCTGAACCGTTCTTCTCGTGATTCTTCTCCTTGACTTTAAGAGTCGGTAGAAAATAACTTGTTTCTCTCGCTGTTTATATTTAGCAAGTATTTTAAATAGGACAAATGTAATAGTGTTGGCGTGGTGGAAGGCATAGAGAGCACAAAGCTTTTTAAGAGGCCTTTAATTCTTGTACGCTACCTCCCCTTTCACATCATCAGTACAGAAATTCAAGTTTCTTTCTAAATATGCAGGAATGTTATTTTTATGACTGCTGTTCCAAATTTATGCCCCCCTTTTTAATCATATCAAATCTAAACTTTGTCACAGCTCCTTCCACGTTCTGTCTCTCTTCTGGCCGCTGCTGACGTGCCGGGGACTTGTGGTTCTCCAGGCAGTTTGGGGCGTAGCTGCGAGAGATTGCTCCAGAGTCTCTTTCTGACGCTCTCCTTTCCACCAGCCAAATTTGCCTCTTATTTCAAGCTGATGCTGAATATACTATTCCTGTTTCATGGCAGTAAGGTAGATAGTGAGGAGGAAACTGTGTATTATTTGCCAGAGGAGGCACAGAAGGGTTTAACTGTCCTGCACCTTGAATCCATGCTACATGTTTAATCAGCTCCTTGCATATTATATATACAGTATAGTGAACTTATTGGTTACTGTTTTCTATCTTGGATCTGTCTTACACTTCTTCATTAGCTAATTACTTTTTCATGCTCTCAGTATTCAAAAAAGCTCTTTTTGTTAGTAGCACCCTTAATTCAGTTCACACTGTGTGCATTTAAATGTCGTATTTGAGCATTTCCCATCACACTTCTCCATACAGTCCCCAAGAGTCTAGTGTTGACCTCTCTTTATCCTTTGGCTTACAGACATGACTCGTTAGTCTCATATCCAGCCACCTGGTGATCATACTCACGTTATGTCAGATGTACAGCTATGGCAGTTAGCTTTCGTAATTTTTGGCCCTTTAAAATATTGCTTTGGCCTACGAATAATGGCATTTTTCTTCTGCAGCCACAGCATAAATATTTTAGGTAGATTTTTGATGTTTCAAAAACGTTTTTATTTGGAATATTTTTCATCGTATTTATCTCAGTTTAGTCTTATCTCAGTGCACGAGTCTTCAATAACAGTGTAAGACTTTTTGTATGTGTGGTTTTAGTTAATGTAGCATAAAAAAAAGTTTGTAACTACTTTAATGCAGGTTCTTTCAGGCCTAAAGTGCATTTTGTCAGGTTTCCAAACAGCGATTTATTGAGAGGAGTCAGTTGTCCCAGTTTTTTGTGACCATCTAAAGAGAAGTCTCTCTGTTCTGCTTGTTCGGTGTTGCTTCTATTTTTCCATTTTACAGTGTCTGGCTCTCGCTTGATCTTGTGTTTGATGTTTTTCTCGCTTTGATAGAAAGTGGTAGTCACTACCAAAGCTGATGCTAAGTTGTGTTACCATGTGACTGTTGCGTACCCTGGGATTTAAAACCCTAAAAGCTGTAAATACTTCAAGTGTGTAAAATGTTAAGCCACGTTCTATTAATATATAATTCAGAGTAAAATGTATATGATCCTAGAGGAAGTAGGAAAAAAGGTTACAAATCAGCTACTGAGAATTGTTTATCTTATATTTTCCCTATAAGCAGGTGTACTTACTTTTCCTACTTAATTCCTACTAAATGTCCTTTGGGGTATGATAGAGGTCACTATTTTCTTCCTTATCCAAACAATTCCCACCAGCTGTCTTCATGGGTCTGTGTGTTCAAAGCACAGAAAATACGTGGTTAATCTGGCAATATAAAGGAAGTGGCTTTGCTGTGCTGTGTGTCCAGATTCTTCCATAATCAATTTCGTCTCTCAACAGCTCTGGATATTTCACAACCTTTAGTATCATAGCCTCTTAGAATTGCCTGTCAAGCTTGCTTGGAGTATCATGTACTTGGAAATAAGCATCTCTTAAGGAGATAACGTTCTGTACACAAGAGCTGCATTGTGGACAATCAGTAGTCTAGTACTTTTGCTGTCCCGATTATAGTTTCCAGCAAGTAAGTTTTGTGCCTTGGAGAAATTATTCGACAGTTCTCACTATTCTTTCTGTTATTTTTAAGTTAAAAATCTAACTGTCATGTTACTTAGTTCAGTATGTAATTCTTTCCCATATTTGTGGCCAAAAAGGTGATTTGCAAGCTAAAGTCGTTGTTTGAAATTTTGTGGTATCCTCACTCCTCAAAGCCGTTGAGAGTATCAGCACGGAAATGTGCTGAAAATAGACTTAGCTAGGTAAGAAATAATCCTGGCCTGGGGAGAGTTAGAGCATGAGCATGCCTGATGTGGAATATCTTTGCCTTTGAAGACACGGTAGAAAGTCTGTGGCATATTAGTGCCTTTTTTTATTCTTGTTCTTAGTTGTGGCTTAGGCTTTCTTTTTGATATCCCTTTTTGTCAGTGTTTGTAATAAATGTGGTCAAATAGGACAAATTAACTCGTAGGAGTCAATTATACAAACATTGGCCTTTCGTGTCATTCTTCTACTGTAGCAGGCAATAGCTTCAGTCCTTGGCTTCATGGAAAGTCTTGATATCTAATTTTTCAGAGATAATCTGAGTACCAATGGCCCCTTTACTTTGGATCCTGCACGCACTCAAAAATAGCGTACATAGTCAGCGTAGAAGTACTTTGATAAAATTGATGTAGAAACTGGCTGTTCATTCTGGGCCTGTAGCTAGCTCTCAGGACCTAGAGTACTTCAGAAAGTAGATTTAAGCATTCAGTGATTTCAGAGATCACCATAGCTCAATAACCTAGCTTTTCAAGTTGAACGTTACTGGTATAGACTGCAGTTGATTATTAATGCTACAAAGGTCTTTGGAGAAGATCTATTTGATAAAATGTTCTCTTACTCTGGGAGATGTTGTACAAAATTGTATCTGATTATTGCCCTCCTGCTCCCAGATCTGTGCATATCAGTAATTGATTGTGTGCTGTGAAGTAATTCCAGTAAATACGTTGCCGGTACAGTTCTCTTGGGGATCGTTGATGAGATGATGGCATGGGTAGGTATGGCAGTGCTGTCTATAATTAAAAGCATCCAGTCTTCTCTGTAGTCATATCCTGTTCTCATTGCCTGTAATTTTATGTGTATCTGTTTATCTGTATCTGTTATTAATTGTGTTCATTTTTTAATCTATATTTTTGATCTTTTTCAGCAAAAAGGTTATCCCTTTTTTCTGAACGACCGAGAGAAAACATGAATGATTTTACTTGACTTTGCGGCCTTTAACATTCTCCCATTGTTCAGGCACGTGCATTTGTGGTACCAGTTGTTAGAGTTTATGCAAGGGGTGTTTTGCTCATAACCTTAGAATATAGAACAGAAGTCTGATCCCTAAGGAATATGAATAGACTTTGGACCATACTTTCTTGTAAAGATAAAAACACCCGTATTTATACCTTAATATTATTGTAGTTCTTTAGGGAAGTTTGATTGTTCAAAGAGTATTGCCACAGCAAGTTTTTGAGTGCTACTTGCTGTTCTTGTCATAAATGATGCTGGAGTGATGACAGTGTTCAGAAATACATCCCTTCCTTCCCCCTCAGGCCCCCTTGGGAAGTAGTCAATTAATTACTGCAATTGATGTTACCTGCAGATCCCTCTGTGTATAGTGTCTCATGTGAAAATTGTGTGCTGTGTTCCCTTTGCTTATATTGCTGCTATGGGTGTTGAATCTGGCAGCTACGGGAATGTTTGTGTAGTAACCACGCTGTAAAAATGAAGACAGCTAGGAATGCTGAGTCCTAAGAGTCCTTTAAAAGCGAATGTAAAAACCTGGTTTGAAAAGCTGTAAAGCTTTTGACTTACTTGTATAGAGAATATAAGTTCGGCGAGTGGACATTCATTACTTCAAAGATGATCTTGAGAATTCTTCTCTCATCTTTATGCTGCTCAGTTGACTTTCTGTGCAAGTCAGAAGGGCTTTATAGAAGATGAAGTAACTAAAAATAATGTTAAAAGATAAATGTTAGGAAAATTAACGTTGGATAAAAAGGGAAGATCTCAACTCGTAAGGCTGTAACGATGGGTGCCAAGTCAGTCTGATCTGTGATATAATCAATCCAAAATAAGTACGTCTCTCATATTTTATGGCTTATAATTTTTGTATAAGTTAATAGAATTTGTGTCACCATATTAACATATTGTGATGCTCCACTGAAACTGTACTGCAGCTCTTTAAAATATATATATTAGAAGTGCTTTGTAGCTTGAATGCTTTGGGCTTTAATTTAAAAAAAAAAATAACGGCGGTTCAGTTTTCATGAATGGCTGTACTGGTTATGCAAAATGTCCTGGTGATTGTATATAGACTTAAAAAAAAAAAATTCCCAATATCTAGAGCCCAGCTGTTGCTAAGATCATACTGATAACCTCACGTAAGAGAGAGACTCTTTGTGACGAAACTTTTAACCAAACTACCATTAAAAATTAGTGAATAGAAAAGTGATACTATAATTTTTCTTTAGTGCTTTCCTCTAGTGTTGGCCTCTAGTGTGGAAGTTATAAACACCTTCTGCAAAGCCCTTCAAATGCACACTATCAACCAGAGAAGTTATAATTTGAGAATATTTGCATACCTCTCTGGCACAGATCTCAACTTTTTCTAGAAGGAAAACTGGCTGTGTGGCAGAGCTCTGAGGGTTGTGATCGGTGGCACAGTCTAGTTGGAGGCCTGTAGCTAGCAGTGTCCCCCAGGGGTCAGTACTGGGTCCAGTCTTGTGCAAGTTATTCGTCAGTGACCTGGAGGAAGGGACAGAGTGCCTACTCAGCAAGTTTGCCGATGATATAAAACTGGGAGGAGTGGCTGATGCACCAGAGGGCTGTGCTGCCATTCAGAGGGACCTGGACAGGCTGGAGAGTTGGGCAGAGAGGAACCTCATAAAGTTCAGCAGAAGCAAGTGCAGGGTCCTGCACCTGGGGAGGCCTGACTCCGTGCACCAGGACAGGCTGGGGAGATGACCTGTTGGAAAGTAGCTCTGCAGAGAAGGACCTGGGAGTACTGGTGGACAAGTTGACCTTGAGCCAGCAATGTGCCCTTGGGGCCAAGAAGGCCAATGGTCTCCTGGGGTGCATTAGGAAGAATGTTGCCAGCAGGTGGAGGGAGGTGATCTTTCCCCTCTTCTCAGCCCTGCTGAGGCCGCACCTGGAGTCCTGTGTCCAGTTCTGGGCTCCCCAATACAAGACAGACATGGAGCTACTGGAGCGAGTCCAGCGGAGGGCTACTAAGATGATGAAGGGACTAGAGCATCCCTCATATGAGGAAAGGCTGAGGGAGCTGGAGAAGAGAGGATCTGATCAGTGTGCAGAAGTATCTGAAGGGAGGGTGTCGAGAGGATGGGGCCAGACCCTTGTCCATGGTGCCCAATAACAGGACGAGAGGCAACAGGCACAAACTGAACTATCTGAACATGAGGAAAAACTTCTTTACTGTGAGAGTAACTGAGTGCTGGAGCAGGTTGCCCAGAGAGCTAGTGGAGTCTCCTTCCCTGGAGATATTCAAAAGCCGGCTGGACACAATCCTGGACAATGAGCCCTAGGTGACTCTGCTTGAGCAGGGTTTGGACTGGATGATCTCGAGGGGTCCCTTCCAACCTCAACCATTCTGTGATTCTTCCACTAAAACGTTGCTTGCTGGAAATAATTATAAAGTGATGAGGTAGTTCCATGATACATGTCTGTCAGTATAAAATTTGAAAACTGTGTTCATGCAAAACTGAAAAGTAACTGTAAAAAGAGTAGCTATATCTTGTTGTGTATTACAGTTGGACCCATTTAGCACCAATTTGTTTTCCATTACCAAGGAAAACCAAGAAGTGCCCAAAGGTCGTGCAGACAGAGGAAAAACTCTGTCACCAGCTGATCCTAACAAATGGAAGTATCCTTGATCACTAGCGTTAAGGGAGCCAGTAAAGGTTTATGTTAAAACCATAACAAACTGAAGAAGGTCTTAACTGACAGATATAAGCTGCTGTATAACTGCATAAAGTTCTCTCATTAGCTACTGAAAGAATGTCTGAGCTGCTTATCTTTGTTGCCTATTATGCACGAGCAGTGTATGCATTTAAAGCGAAAATTCCTTGTGTTTTGCTTGCAGACTTTAGTAATCTAAATGGTAATAAACTGCTGTGTTGGATGTTTAGAGCCCAGCATGGCAGTTTTTTGTGAAGATCTAGCAAGTTAAACTGCTGTTTTTTCTTCTCAGACCTGCTTCTGTTACTAGATAATGACTCTTGGTTTCTCTAGTCTCAAACTTGGCTTGACACCAGAATTAGTATTCCAGCTTTTTTTTTAAAAAAATCTGTTACAGCAAAGCAGCAAAGTCCTAGTATGCTAATAATCCCACAGCAATGCGATGGGACATGGCTTCCTCACAGCTTGAGTTGAAATCTTTTGGCCATTGCCTTTTTTGCACAGCCTACAAACACACTGTACTGTCAAGACGATGATTGTCTTGCTGTGTACTCTGCACGCTGATTGTCATTCTGCCGTATCATAGCTAGGAGAGCTCAGCAATACCTTTCCTCTTTTATTGGCTCCTACCTTCAATTAGTCAAGCCTGCCTGTTATCCGTGTCACTGTTCTTAATGGTTAGCTTCATATGCTGCGTCTTACAGTCAAGTGCGTAGCTTTCCTTTTCCGTCTTGTAGTTCTCACTGGCTGGTATATATACTTGTTAACAGTTCACTAACCAAATTGGCTGCTTATGCATTCAATTTATATAATAAATGACTTGCATTATGCATTTATTGATCTTCCTATTAACTTCAAGCATGTACTGAAAAAACAGTTACTCAAGTTTTACTGGTGATTGAAATTAATTAGTAAAAAGAACTGAAAGACTGACAATGCAGGGATTATCTATAATTTGCAAAATTTACGCTCTCGGATGACTCTTTATGTGAGCATAGTTATTTAATTGCTTTAGTATCAGCCTAGACAGTTTGTTTTAGAAGATAGTATTAAATTAAAAGTCACAAAGTCCTGCTGGGTGACAGTGGATCATAGTCACAGAGGTGAGCTCTTTTCTTCCACTATTACACCAAAACTAGTGCAGTTTAACATTGGTAGTTGTAGTAATAGAAATTATATTGTCAAATATATGCTTGCTATTTTACTAGTGGTGTTTAATTGGGCTCAAAATAGAAGAACGTAAGTGAAGTAATACCAGGGAAGAGCAATCCCAAGATGAAGTGACAAGGACTGTGCTTTCCAGTGCAGTGTAGTAGTTTTGCACACTATCTCTACTCTTCAGTTGAAATTAGTATTATGATTGTTTATTTGCAACATCTTTCATTGCTTTTAATATGTTCATTTTTTATAATCTTGGTATGTAAGAGTATGAATTATGTTAATATGAAAGTCAAGTTGATTTTGGTAGCCTCTTTCTTCCCTGAAAAGAATTAAGCAATAAATTTCCCATTTTGTTTACATAACTGCGTAAAGTGACAAGTTCTCGTTTTCTTTTTTTCCTCTCCTTATATGTAGGAAAGCTGTAGAAGAGTTGCTTAAAGAGGCAAAACGTGGCCGAACCCGAGCTGAAACAATGGGAGCTATGGGATGGTAAGTCAACATGTACATGAACACAGAACTTGCTATATTTTCTTAATATGAGTGTCAAGAGGAAATGAATACTAAGACCCACACAGAAATAAATGTTACATGTAATGTAAGACAAAAGTCTCTGCCTTTTAATTTACATCATATTTATATAACTTTTCTTCATCCAGATATTTGGGCAAAAATGTGATTCTAGATATATAAGAAAGAAGTTGAAGAAAATTTTGCCTGCATAAAATTGCTTGACTATATATATAGAAGAGCAAAGCAATTGGCGAACTGGGAGTAACTTTTGTTACAGTATTTCCTTATAGTAGGTGGAATAGCAAACTTTAGACTACAGCTTTACAAAACTTTAGCAATATTAGGTAGCTTCAATATGCATATACTTACTTACATGCTGGCCACATATTACTGGCTTTGATTCTGTTTAGATTAAAAAAATTGATAGCATAACACCAAAGAAATCCTGTAAAACAATAATATAATAATAACAAATTTCCTTTAGCAGTGTATTCATGTGTAAACTGCAGCCAAAAAATGAACTGAAAGTATAATCTAATTTTGGAAGAAGGTATTTTATAAGACAAAAAACTGCCTATAAACAAGGGGCTAACTTGTTTAGCAAGTGGAGAAAAAAGTTAATATTAAGATTTTATGTGAAATATAGTGTTAATTTTAATGCAATATTTCAGATTTTACAGCTAGATTATCATAGAATATAATGCATATTATTGTAACTAGAGAAAAAGCAACAGGCTGAGAGGATTCATGTGCCTTAATCTGATGTAGATGACTGATAAGAAGCTATCTGATCTAGGGATGTTCACACAAGCATAGCACGCCAGTTGACTGCATTAAACCCATTTGTAGATAAGGTTTGGCTTCCTCCGCTGATACTATTAAAAGGTAAGCCTGTACTGTTAATGAAGTTCTCAACTGATTTCTCAGCTATATTTGTTTTAAAGTAGCTCCAAAGAGATTAAAATAGTATCTTACTCCAGAAGGTTAATCCTTTGTTTTCTGAACATATTTGGTGTTTTTGTGTTTTTTACCCGGTATTTCTGCTAGGCATGTGGTTTATACCATTTATGCTAAAATAGTTGAATTAGTTTAATCCCCTAATGCGTTTACAGCTATACTGACATAGCATGCTTTTACCCTGTGAGCCTTATCAAATGGTGAGGTAAGCCAATACAGATCAATTAGCACCATGAGGTGCAGTATGCATCCAGTTACTGTGAATTTGCACGTTAATCCCAGCAAAGCACCCCGCTATCCTGTGCAACGTTGCTTCCACTTGTGCAATCTGGAATACCTACCCGTATTTGTAGTAGTGTATACAGGCTTCTGTCCCCGGCTGTTTCTTATTCCTTGTCTGTGTGAGTGTAGTGGTCACACTTAAGTGATTGTGATTGCCAGCTCAGGATAACATGCTATTTGCTGTCACCTGGTGCCCATGACCTGCCAGAAGAGGAGATAGCAAAGGATGACTTATTTTTAGAACAGCTTCAGATTCTGTTACAGTGACATAGTGGCTTGTTAGGCCTGAGGCTGTGTTAAAGATGTAGGAGGAGAAGAGGACTGTCAGGAAGACTTCAAGCTGAGGAAGGCTATTGACGTGGGGATTGGCATGGAGATATCCTGAGAAGTAAGGAAGTAAGCATCCTTTTAACTGTGGAGGAACGTGAGAATAGCTGTACAGAGTCAAATGAAAGATCCACCCCTGCAGTGCCCTGTCTGTCTTTATCAGTGGCAAATAGCCAATGCTTAAGAAATGGAGTTAGAACGGTAAAGGTACGCAGCAGTACTTCTTCAAGATAATATCCAAGCTTCTGACAGTCTGAACCTCAGGATATGCGGCACCAGAGATGATATTTTTGCATTTGATGTCCTTCCGGGGATTTTTCTTCTCTGAGTTTGTCCATAGAGAGATTAATAGTTGTAATCCCATCTGTCACAAATCTGCTGTAGAGTTTGGCAGAGGCTAGTATGCAGCTGGTGTGTGTGGCTGTAGGGAAGGTATAAAGCCTACCACAGGCAGTTTCCCAGTAAGTCTTTAGTGTCTAGTTCCCCAAGCTCAGAGACAGATCACCAGTAGGAAGCTGCCACTGCTTTCAACCATTTACAGACATGTATTACATATATTTGGTGCCTGATGGTGGTGTTCTGATCCCTCTGAACTGGCCTAGCAATTAAATGTTGCGTATATATATGGAAGATGAAATACCCAGTAAAGTGGTTGGAAGAGAACTTACTGTGCTCCATGGAGTATCAGCCTCCAGCAAAATAACATCAGATGTAAGTAGTGTTACAGTAAATCCTGAAGGGCTTCAGAGGTTGGATTCAGGGGTGACATGTAACCTTGCAACTGTAAATTGCTGAGAGAAAGGTAGCAGTTGTTTTGAACTTCATGGATACCAAATGAAATACGCAGAAAAGTTTGTTTATCAAAACGTATGCTAGGAGACCAAATCCGGGAAATCATAAGTGGGTAGAAGCAAACAGGCAAGGACATCACCAATGTGACCAAAGCACAATCTTAACAGGTGCAGAGCAAAGCCTGCCTTCCTTGCCAAACTCAAAATGTTTACAGGTGTGTTTCATAAGCTCTCTTGGGGTTCCCTCAGCCCTTTGTCATAGGGCACATACGATCCTGGAGAAGAGATGCACAAACCCTGGAGACATCCAGTGCAAGGCTATCAATCCTGCATTGGTGCTGTATAGTTGAAGCGACTCAGCTTACGAAGAAAAGATTATTCTGCTGTCTCATTTTGGGTAAGAAGAAGCAGAGACTGCTACCACTCCTGTTTTACTGATTCCAGTTTAAGTTGCCCTCCAGCAGCCGTCACATACTGGGAAATTCACTTCTGGAGTTAGTGGGGTTTTACAGGAATGAGTTAAAGGGAGATGTGTAGGGAGGAGACATTCCCAGGGAAGTGTTTTTGCATGCCGTTACAAAGGATGCAAACCTCCAAGCTTGGAGGTTCCTGGTGAACACTGATGGCAGCAACACCGTAGCAAGCTTCTGCACGCTGTTCTGGGACTACCTTATGGTTCATGCCACTGCTCCACTGTCCACAGTGATTTTCTGCACAGCTCGAGTGCACTAGCTGAAGAAGTTCCCCAAGTGCCCCTTCCTAACCTTTTTCTGCCTTCTCATAGGAGATGGGTAGTAAACTGCTGTCTGAACTTGAGTTGCAAGCATCAAAGCTGGCGTAGCCAATTTTGTCATGGAAAAAAATGTACCAAATAGTCATCTTTCAACCCACAGTTTCTGATGCAAAGACTCAGCCTTGAAATACGGGACACTGTTGCTAGTATCTCTTCCAGTCTGGAAATACTTTGCCAATGTTACCTTGTCTTACAAGCTTGCTGTGATTGGCATGAATAGGTGCTGCAACCTCTAGAGATCAGATGGCAGTAGAAGAAAGGCTTATTTTGAGCGGGGAGATTGGTGGTGATATCAAGCAAGAGCTTATGCAGGAAGGGAGGTTGCCTGGGTTTCTCTGGACACTGAGCATCTCTCAATGTTGCCAGTGGGCCACGTGAGTTCTTGCCTGGTTAAGAGTCGTGGTTCACTGGCCTCCATGCTCTCAGGACTACTTAAGTTGGTGGTATCTAGGTCTATGGCAAATTAATCCAAGAAATACTGAATATTGGTATTTTCAGACCTCGCATTACTGGCTCTTGTGTGTTGATTTGTTCCTTGGCTGTTCTCACGATCCTTGTTCTCAGCACTGCAGTATTTCTAGTTCCTGTAGTGATCCATCCTTACACACTGTATGACCTCGGTGTTTCTTGTCTGGGGATTCCTACCTCCTTATGATGCCACATGGTGTAGATCCGTCCTCTGTGGTATCTGATTCAAGATTTTCTGATTCATGGAGTTAATCATGAGTAAGAAAATGTGTAAGAGAAGGAAAAGGAAGGATCATCTTTGAAGCTGTCTTAATCCCTGAAACATTGAGGAAAAGAGAACAGAATTTGTCTGTAATGTAAGTTTGATCTATGCTATTGTGATTCTGGAGCAGCTGCCTAGAAGTTACCACTTGAAGGACTGTACAGCTGTATCCAAGATGAGAAGTTGTGGCAAAAAGAGTTAGAGCATGTGAAACTGTTATATAAATTTGTCCTTGATTCAGCAGGGAGCGTTCAACGCAGATGGAGTAAAAAGTTACAGGATATGTGGGGACTTGTACCGTGTGCCTTTAGGTAGAATCAAGCTACAAGCTGAGATTTCCTACAGTGGTTTTGTCAGTCCTGTGGGTGTAATTCACAGGCTTCCTTGCAGCAGTAGAGCTATGTCATTTTAAGGGGTTGTTCTGCTTTGATTGAGAAAGGCAGTTAAAATGCCCTCAAAGCTACTACATAGGCAAGTTCTAGAGGCTATAATTTTTTTCTCCAGTGTATAGGTTTAGTCTTTGAGGATCCTGCTAGCAAGTGAGCTAAGGCTGAACTTAATCTTTTTCACTTGCTCTGAAAGCTTACCTAAAATAAGATACGGAAAACGGGATATTTTTGGATGATTTGTTCAGCTTTGCATTGTAAGAGTAGATGAAGTTGCAGAAAGATGATGAACATTGGAAACAAATTATTTTTAATCCTATTTCTTATAAAGCACTGCTAGAATTGCTTTCATGTCTATAAATAGATTCTGTTCAATACCAAATCTGTTAATCAGACGTATTGCAGAATACTAAATATAGGCAAAAAAGGCTGTGAGACACTAAAAGCTTTGAGAGCACTGAGCACTGGAACTCCTTCACTTCATTGCATCTTGTCTGTGATTAAATTGATGTTGCATGACTATGCAGAAACACTCGAATGTGATTCCACTAAATCTTTTCACTTGAACGTAGAGAGGAGGAGGAGGAGCAGGGTACAGACAGAGGTTGCAAAACAGATAAGTTAAAATCTTACGATCAGAGCATAGATGCCCGTGCAAAGTCCTGCCAGCTGTATGTAGCTCCCAAGACAATATGTAGGAGCTTGCAGGGTCCTTCCAGGCATCCTCTTTTGTGAGATCCCTTATGAAAGGACTGTAACCTAGATTAGCTGCTGTGGCAAAACAAGCTCTGGCAAAACAACCTCCAGCTGCTGTATTTTCTTTTCAGTTGCTCTTGCTTCCTGTAAAATACCCTTTTTCCATGGCAATTTAGGAGCGTCAGAAATGTACTTGTAAGTTCATGCATAACAAAACCTATTATTTGCTGGAAACAGCTGATTTACTCTATATGCCAAGGCTGATGGTGCCAAGGATGTTTGGTATGTACTGCTACACAGCACAGGGAAGACTGTGGTTCGTGGGCCTGTACTCTAGCATCTTAATCAGTGTCTGTCTGTTTTACTGATACGCAATTGCATGATACGCTTCTGTGCTGAACTGCAGTGCTATGCTTTTGCACTTGTTGCCAGGTATTGGCTGGAAAGTAAGATGGAAATGTCAGAAGTGGGATTAAGATTTGATTTATGCTTACAAGATTTTTTTTTTTCTTGCTCATAACTTGAAGTTGTCACTTCCCCTTTTAGGGGGCCAGGTTGGCTTGTTTTGAGGGTATGTGATGTTTTATGTGTAAAAACACCTTGTCTTAGCTTATCGGAACACACAAATAAAAAAACCAAGTGTGCCCTTGGTGGAATACATTGCTACAAAACTGGAGTCAGTTTTGTAAACTAGACTGCTCTAGAATTGCAGGGTTGCACACGTTCTTTGGTCAACTCTGCAGTCTCTGCTTCAAGCGCACTTGAGTTTGAAGCTTTACAGTTCTTTATTAAAGTTCTTTCTTTTTTGTTTATCTATTTTGTGGAACCGTTTGCTAGTCAGCAGTTGTATTCCACCTTGCAGAGGCTGAACTTGCCTCCCAGTCCTTCAGATCTTATTCTGAAGGCAAAGCTGGCGGTGGTTGAGCCCTGCAGGATCAGAGCTACAGCAAGCCACAGACTTGCCTTAGGGGAGATGAACTGCAGAAGTATCCTACAGTTTTCTCACCAGTGGAAATGCTGGCAGAGGTATCAATGAGTTAATACAGTTCACTTTTAATCTTCACAGTTAGATATGTATACCATGTATATAATGTAAACATTATGTACTTGTACACATTGTAGCATATATATATAGTCATATTGCTTCAAGATTTAAAGGCACAAGTTGCTTCATTGAAATCTGAGGTCAGTAAAACTAAGGACTGATGCTTCTCTTCAGTGCCGTAACTGCTCCATGAAAACACAGTGGCTCGTTTTACCACTGAATGATAGTGAATTGATGGCATCTTTTAGCTGACTCTGAAGCCCTGCGTTCCTCATCAATTTTTTCCCTTCTCAGTGTTGCTCAGACAGCATTCATAGTGCCAAAAAGAAATAAATTTTTCAGCAAGATGGATTTATTTTGGGCAGATTGTCTCATTCTGGTGATATATTTATTAGTGCTTAATTGATACATTAGCTTAAAAAGAAGCAAGAAACAGACAAATATGAAACAATTGAAGTTCTCATCTGGATGCCATCAAGAAAAAACTGCCCTCATATTGGTAGGATGTGTGAGATACAACAGTTTAATGTGGGCCTAAGACACAGGGCTCTTCTGTGTTATGCTTTTGAAAGTTACCTGTGCCATGGCATGTTTATCACCGTGTTCATAGCTGATGAGTCTGGAAATGGAAACCTTATTCTACTGAATACCTGGTAACCACATATTTTCATCAGTAATAAGATTAATGCATAAATATTGTTATGCTAGTTTACAGAACAGCTATACTTGTGTATATATAGAGATCTAGGTTTTTTGTGTTTTTTTTTTTTAAGCTGAGACTTGAGCATAACAGTGTAAATTCGCATGCAGAAAGGTATAAAATAAAAGTTTACAAAACTCTAAAGCTAGTTATCCTGTGAAAACCTGTCAAGAAATACGTAGCGGAAATAAAACAGCATGACTGTTCAATGTATTCTTCTGAAATAACTCGCGTAGTTGTTCTTGTAATAAATCCTCAAAGAAATTATTGACAATGCTTAACAATGACAGTGGAAGTAAGCACCGTGTCCACTTGAAAGTTGTGAATTATGCTAAATAATTAGACATGATCTTAGTTCCAATTTTTCTGTTGTTCTACAGTTTGATACCTCTGATTATTCAGAGGTAACAAAGGCTTTTAAATCATCACAATGTAGTTTCTACATTTATATGAAATTTTGTGGTAGCATAGATAATCCTAACATTGCAGTGTTAGAATTCATTGACTCCACAACTGATTCAGTAAGTGGCGCTGTGATCTCCAACATTTCTGCTTTTTTAGAGTAATCCCTTAAGGTCTCCACTAGCATGCAAACTAAAATTATTTGTGAATACAAACGCCACAGTACTACCCACCATAAACAAAGTTTTCAGAATGTTTTTTACTTACTGAAGGAAAAAGAGCCAACTTGGTTTTGTTCACTGCATTCTTTAAGAGAGAACAAATTGGGAATAAGGAGTGTACAGTTACTAACAAGATAAATGAAATATAAAAATACTTGTTTACTAAAACTAGCTGATAAATTATATGCAAAAGTGTTAAGCGGACAGAGGAGAAATCGGAAACAATGGAAGAGAAGCTGAATGAGGGAAGGGGCTGAACAAGTATCCTGTCTACTTAAGAAAATGAAACTAAACGTTTTCCTTGGTAGACAGTTGCCAAATGTAAGTTAAATTTGATATGCCTCGTATATCTGTTTTATTACTATAACTACTTAGGTTCTTTGTGCGAGAGTATCTTTTATTTTCTAAACATCTCAGTTCATTAAACAATGCCGACGACAGTAGATTATGATCTTGTAAACCATTCCTACCTGACTTAAAACATGTTATTAAATGTCTGATTCCTGAATAGCTAAGTTAAGCATTGACAAACTTAAAATGTGTTTGTCATCTCACAAGGGTACATTAAACGTTAGCTTTGCCTCATGTGCTTTCCCCTGCACACACTGCCTTGTAAAAATCTTGTGGATTTTCACTCTATTAAAGGAAAATATCTTACTCGGTATGATAAAAAATTAATAGGAGAATGGGGACAACCTTGAGCATATCTTTCTGTACTGAGAGTTTACACTAGGTGGCATGCAAGGAAAGCCAAAAGCACAAACTTGTCTTAAAATTATTAAAGTTAAACTTTCAGACTTGCTTCAGATATTTTCATCCTATCTTCTCATTACTTTTAAATGTCTTTACAGGTTGAAATGTCCTCTTGCTGGTGCAAATAAAAGATTTCTTATTAATACCATCAAAAACACGTTACCCTCTCAAAAAGAGCAAGACCAAGAACGTGAGCCTAAGGAAGTCAGTAAGGAGCCTGAGCCAAACAAAAGCAGGAAGGAAGAAAAACCAAAGAAATGCAGAATTCATCCATACACACCCAGCTTTCAGTCTAGAAGGAGAGTCAGCTACTCTCCTCCTAGGCACCGAAACAGGAACCAGCACACAAAGGATAAGTATGAAAAGCGATCAAGCAAACGATGAGGAAAGTGATGAGTACGTGTTGTTGCAAGCCAAGAATGTCATTAAATGTTGGACTGCAGTGATGTTTCAGTTTTTCAGGCAGAGATGCTGTTCAAAATTGATGTTTGAACAGAGAGTTGCTTCTGTGAGAAGTAACCTTGAGGTAGTTTTATAAGACTTTTCTTCAGGACCTTTAAGAGAAAAGTAAAATGCAGCATAAATCTTTCAATGTTTTAGAACAGACATTCCCTTCCTTTCACTCCTTTCCTCCCTTCCCTTCTGATTAAGGATAGGGCCTTGGTAATGGGGCTTGTTCCATGTGACACTGAGACAGGTTCTTTAGTCACTTCACCCTTTGAGAAATAAATTTAAATTAAGCAGAAGCCTATTTATTGTATAAAGCTGGCAGAACTTTGCTGCTAAATCAATAGAAAAGTTTTGCTTGTTTGGGTTAGTTGAGTTTTACGGAATCTAAAAGAAGGGAGAATTGGTCAATACCTGGCCACGCACATACATTTTGTATAGTATATAGGAATTTGATTTCTTTACACAGTGTAAAAAGAACAGATTTAAAATGGGCAACACTGGCTTTAGCTCCCTGGAGGAATTCCCAGGAAAAGCTGATTCTACTTGTTATTGTGTTAGTCACAAACCTGTCATGGCTAATGACAAACATTACCCCTAAAAAGCCATAACTGCAATAATTGTCTCTCTTTAGACTTCCCGCTGTAAGGAAGTGGTTTGAACAGTTTATTGTCATGGTGCTTTCAAAACAAACCTTGAAGACAAAATTATCGTATCTCTCTCCACAGCTATGAAGTTTTCAAGTAGATATGTAGTACTAGAATGTACAGAGAAGATATTTAAAAACAGTTGTCAAATGCTCACTTTCCAAGCCTATGTGACAATTTTGTAGGGGTGCAGTTCTTCAACTTGTGACTTTGAGAAAGTATAATTATGCATCAGCATATTCTTTTTCTTTTTTCTGTTTGTGTTACAGTGACTTCTATGTGAAATATTTTGTATTTCAGTATCCTCAAAAATAATTGTTTTGAACGTAGATTTCAGTTTTTGAGTTTGTGTGTTGACAATAAAATCTGATGTGTTAAAATGCTTTGTGGAATTTGTACTTTTAATGAATTTCTTATTAAACTGAAATGGGCCTATGTCATCTGACAAGAGGGTCAGTGTTTCAAGGTCCTTCAGTGTTGTGTTAGAGCAAAGAGTGCCACCTATAGGTTAATCTACACCTTGTCTTGTTCTTCTGCTTGTCTGTCTTGGAAAGATCACGTTAACTAGGTGAAGGGGAGGCCAAAGCGGAGATCTGCTGTGACGGAGTTTTGATCTAGTAGCAGGAATTGCTCTCCTCAATACTGCCAAGGCAGTTAAACTGGTGTAGAGGCCACCAGTGACTGCTAGGGTTGTTGTACCCATCAAAGTGGGATACTTTTAAATTTCCACAGAGGATTTGTAGCTAGTTTCTCTGTTTACCTGCAGGGACCATAACACTATAGTAGAAGTCATCCCAGCCTTTCAGAAAACTTCCATTGGTGTAAGTGGGAGCAAAGGAAAAGTAGTATCTATGGAGAATCTAGGGCTAGTGAGATTTTCAGATACACATCCAGACATCTGTCTTTGGTTTCACAGGATCAGACTTTGTTTCCGGTCCTTATTTTGCTGGACACTGCTTGTTTCCTCCTTAATAGTTCGCTTTGAAGGACACCATCTATGATGCTGTACCAGCCAGCCTCTACTACAGTGGCAATGCTGGATATGTGGCTTTGCAGCAGAGAATTCCCCTCGCTGTTGCTCAGAATTGAGGCTGGAGATGTTCCATAGGCCAGGTGCTCACGAATTCTTACCAGTGCGACCTGTAGTGGTAATATGGTTTTCTGAGGGCACACCTTTAGGATAGCTGCTGCCATTTATTCTTCCTTAATTTAAGGCAGGCTTTCAGACAGGAAAAGTGACTAGAGTATGCTTTCAGAATTAGTCTGGTTCATTGATGGATGTGCTTCCATACTAGCAATGCTGAACTGGAGAACCTGGAATAACCAAAAATGGATAACTGGAGAAAGTCTATCCGCAGTGGTAGCTTCAGATATAATTCCTCTTTCTTTCTTTTTTTTTTTTTTTCCTGACTTGGAGAACATATCTGTATTATTAGACTTTTGCTAGTTGATACCATATTTCCTAAGGTCTTTCATAAGTGCATGTAATGAAAATTAGCTATGCTGTTCAGTAACTATTCTTAAATCAAGGCAAATCTCTACCCATTTTTAATGATCAAAAATGCTGCATAAAGCCAGGTTTGTATTAAAAACTGTCGACTGATGCTGTTGCACAGCACTAGCATCACAATTATAAAGTATCTTAAAGATAGGAAGGGTTTAATCCCTGAAACTTGGATTTTGAGCGTGTCTTTCAGAATACATTATGAACTTCTGTAACTCTAAGTGCTTGATATTCATAGAAATGCCCAGTCCTTTAAAAAGAAATTATGTATTCTTGGTCTCAGCTTCCTGTAGTAGTGCATTTCAGCCTCCTCAGATGGGAGGGGAATGCACCTTATGTTAATATTACTTCAGTAATACTTCAAAGGTGTTTCTTGTTCAACTGTGAGCTTTTTAAAGTTGATATTGCTCTTGCTGCAGCTGCAAGAACTTTTTCATTAGTTTTTTCTGTTGTTATTTAGGACAGAAATCCTACGAATGTCTGTTTTCATCAAGCTAATATTGAATGTAGATCACAAAACAATGTAAAAAAGGAGGAGAAAGTAATTTATAATTAGATTTTGCACAATATTTTTGTTAGTTTTGACTACATACTTGTTCGAGGAAGAATTTACAATCCAATTCAGGGATATTATAATGTGCAGTTCTTACATTCATTGTATAGCCTCTTCTCTTTTGTAAATCCAATTTGAGTTATTTACAATGAATCATAAAAGCCATGAGCCTCCAAGAAAAGCCTAACAGATTTGGTGTATAACAAGACTTAAAGGCAAAAAAACACCCTGTTTTTTAGATTGATCCAAGTTTATTTCACAGAAGTTTTTTGAGGTGCAGTTGTAATAGCGTTCCTTAGTGATTATGAAATATCTACTGAAAACTACTTAACAAAGGAGATGTAAATGTTTTTAGATCAATGGAATAATGTAGCAGGAGGGGGTGGCTTTTTCTCCACAAACAGAACTGGTTTTTGTGTTTTGTCTGCAAGTTGGTCACTGAGAAGCATGTTTCTTCTGCCCTATCAGAGCTCTCATTAATAGTTATATGTTTTTAGATAATTAAACTGGAACAACACAAAAGCAGACTTACTTTGAGTAAGTAGCAAGAAAACATTTGGATTGCATTTGGAGGATTTTATTCATTTTATCGGTAGAGTGACTGATCCACCAAATCTTTATTCATGTGAGTGATCTTTGCACTTGCAAATAATCCTGTTGTAGCTCACATCCTATGAATGAAACTATCTTTTCTGCATTAATATGCACAGTCTTTCTTGTATTTACTATTGACTATTTCCTATTGACAGTCAAAGAGGGCAGAGCTCCAATCAAAAAAAAATTGCCTTAAAAATGTTGCAAAAAATATACACACACACTCATTTTTAGACTTACAGATACAACAGAAGAGAGAAAAATAATTCAACTACTTTTATGCCAGAATATTTACCAGCCTCTCTGTCTTTCAAATGAACACTACTGATGTATCTTTCTTATTTGTTCATATACCAATTCCGTATTGCTTAGACTCTACATTTATCAAAAATGTATTTAGTAACTCTCAGGCGCTAAATCTGCACCTTATAAAATGTTCCTGGAAGACTGCATCTAGAAGCTTCTCCTAGATGCAACTAAACTCACTCTTTCTTTAATAAAGGAAAGCATGAAGAACATGCTATTCTTTGCAGAAAATTACTGTTCATGCCATAGTTGCTCCTGCCCCAAAAGATGAGTCTTGCATTATGACTAGAATGGCAAGCCAAGTACTTTTGACTAAGGAACAGTGCGAGTTCTTTGTACGTCTCCTGAGAGCACCCTCTGCTTTGTATTAAGATAGCTGCAGAACCAGTGCATAGAGCTAACTGCAAAACCGTGGTGTGGGAAGTGTCATAGTGCTGTGGAAAGGAGAATACAGTCCCCTGTAATGTTGGCATAGACCTCTGGAGATATAAGTTCAGTTCTCTCATCTACAGCTTGTATGATCTTAGG